ACCCCAAACAGGAGAAACATATAGAAAAACACACCAAACAAATCACAATCATTTTTATTTTTATTTAAAAAAATTTTTTTTCAATGTTCATTTATTTTTGAGAAAGAGAGAGACAGAGTGTGAGTGGGGGAGGGGCAGAGACAGAGGGAGACACAGAATCAGTAGCAGGCTCCAGGTTCTGAGCTGTCATCACAGAGCCCAACACGGGGCTTGAACTCACGAACCGTGAGATCATGACCTAAGCCAAAGTTGGACACTTAAGCAACTGAGCCACCCGGCACCCCTATTTTTATTTTTAATGTTCATTTATTTATTTTGAGAAAGAGAGAGAGTGTGCATGTGAACAGGGGAGGGGCAGAGAGAGAATCCTAAGCAGGCTCCCCGCTCAGCACGGAGCTCGACAGAGAGCTGGATCTCACCAACCAACAACCGTAAGATCATGACCTGAGCTAAAATCAAGACTCGGGTGCTTAACTACCTGAGCCATCTAGGCACCCTCACAATTATTTTTTTTTAAATAAGTCTCTCTGCTCCTTCCCTGCTTGCACGTGCGCTCTCTCTCTCTCAAAATAGTAAGTACACTTATTTACTTGGGTAAGATACAGAATCTGACGCAGGCTCCAGACTCTGAGCTGTCAGCACAGAGCTGGACATGGGGCTCAAACTCAAAAAGTGTGAGATCGTGACCTGAGCAGAAGTCGGACACTTAACCAACTGAGCCACCCAGGCGCCCCAAAGATCATTTTATAATAAGAGTAAAACTAAGTTATCTTCATTTTGAAAATGTAATGTGTTTCCCTGCCAAGGGCCTGAAGATGTAAAGGTCAGAGCCAAGGTCAGAGGACAAAAGAAGTGACAAAATGAGGCACTGCTTCTCCTCCAGTCACTGGTGCCAAATCAACTTTCTGTCAGTATCTGGGAGTAAAGACAGGCAGTTCTCCAGACCACCATACCCTTCTTCTGTTCCAATCTAGCGTCTTGCTAATCCAAAAATTCAAATGTCCAGGCCAATCTCCACCATGGTGTGAGGAAACATCACTTAAATGCACATTATAATAAAGGGTGATGTAAACCAAAAGCAGTCTCAGCCTGGCACAAGTTCAAAGCAGATGTCATTCTCCTTTTCGTCAGGTGGCTCTTCCCTGAGGACACCCTTAGGTACTTCTTAAATTTCTCTATTCCCATGTCCTAGATTCCCAGGGGAAAAAACCAAAACAAAACAAATCTCTTCCTGCCTGAGTTCTGGGTTTTGACTTCAATTTAAAACTGCCCCTTCTGGTGGTCACCTGTCTCACCAGCTGGGCAGGAAGCCAAACTCTGGGCACAGCATTTCTCTGGCTGCCTTTCTTCTGGCTTCAAGCACCTGTTTTCTTGAACATCCATCTCATCCCAAGGCTGTCTAACCTGGCTTTTTCTGATGGGCTGCTTTGGAGCCTCCACTTAAGAAAACTCATCCTGGGTTCATCACTGGCCTTGTCTGTCTCTTCTATTCCACTTCTGGGTATATGCCCAAAAGAACTGAAAGCAGGGACCTGAAGAGAGATTTGTACACCCATGTCCATAGCAGCATTATTCACAGCAGCCAAAAGGTAGAAGCAACCCAAGTGTCCATCAACAGATCAATGGATAAGCAAAATGTGGTATATATATGAAGTGGGATATTACTCAGCCTTAAAAAGGAAATTCTGACACCTGCTACAACATGGATGAGCCCAGAGGACATTATATGAAGTGAGATAAGCCAACAGATAAATATTGTATAGTTCCACTTATATGAGATACTCATGAGAGTGTCAAAATCATAAAGACAGAAAGTAGAATGGTGGTTGCCAAGGACAGGAAGAGGGAAGAATGGGGAGTTAGTGTTAGTGGGCACAGAATTTCACTTTTGCAAACACTTTTGCAGTTTTACCTTCTGGAGACTGGCTATACAAGAATTCCAATATACTTAACACCACTGGACTATACACTTAAAAATGGTCAAGATGGTACGTTTTGTGTATTCCATCACAATTTTTAAAAATCAGAACATTTCATGTAAAAAAAAAAATCAAGATTTCAGGGTTCATTTGAAAAAATCAAACCTGATACCACGAGACCTAGATTCTTGCCTGTCAACCATCTCCTGTTTACCACTGATCCCATCATCTATCACTCTTTTTTTCTCTTTGGCTTTTTAAGGCCTGTGAGTCTGTGGCTGCTGCTCTAAGCCCCGAGTGTCACTTTTTACAATAGAGTCCTCCATTTGTTAGCCTCCATCTGGGCAAACGAAAGGTTTTCTCTTTTCAAAAATGAACTATCTGGATCTCATCAAAATAAAAAGCTTCCGCACAGTGAAGGAAACAATCGGCAAAACTAAAAGGCAACTGATGGAATGGAAGAAGATATTTGCAAATGACATATCAGATAAAAGGTTAGTATCCAAAATCCATGAAGAACTTACCAAACTCAACACCCAAAAAACAAATAATCCCATGAAGAAATGGGCAAAAGACACAAACAGACACTTCTCCAAAGACATCCTGATGGCTAACAGACACATGAAAAGACGCTCAACGTCACTTATCATCAGGGAAATACAAATTAAAACCACAGTGAGATACCACCTCACACCAGTCAGAGTGGCTAAAATTAAGACCTCAGGCAACAACAGATGTTGGCGAGGATGCGGAGAAAGAGGATCTCTTTTGCACTGCTGGTGGGAATGCAAACTGGTGCAGCCAGTCTGGAAAACAGTATGGAGGTTCCCCAAAAGATTAAAAATAGAACTACTCTATGATCCAACAATTACACTATTAGGTATTTATCCAAGC